CACCTCTATCACGAGGCCTCTACACCACACCTCTACACCACACCTCTACACCACGCCTCTACACCACACCTCTACACCACACCTCTACACCACACCTCTACACCACACCTCTACACCACACCTCTACACCACACCTCTACACCACACCTCTACACCACACCTCTACACCACACCTCTACACCACACCTCTACACCACACCTCTACACCACACCTCTACACCACACCTCTACACCTCTACACCACACCTCTACACCACACCGTCTACACCACACCTCTACACCACACCTCTACACCACACCTCTACACCACACCTCTACACCACACCTCTACACCACACCTCTACACCACACCTCTACACCACTCCTCTACACCACTCCTCTACACCACTCCTCTACACCACTCCTCTACACCACTCCTCTACACCACTCCTCTACACCACTCCTCTACACCACTCCTCTACACCACTCCTCTACACCACTCCTCTACACCACTCCTCTACACCACTCCTCTACACCACTCCTCTACACCACTCCTCTACACCACTCCTCTACACCACTCCTCTACACCACTCCTCTACACCACTCCTCTACACCACTCCTCTACACCATCCCTATAAACCACTCCTCTACACCACTCCTCTACACCATCCCTATAAACCATCCCTATAAACCATCCCTATAAACCATCTCTATAAACCAACCCTATAAACCAACCTTTCAAACCAACCTTACAAACCGGCCACACATTATCATACAATCGCGGAAGGGATCACGTAACACGAATTCATACACTGAATATATCATTTAGAAATAAACGCACAAACGTATATTCTTAGAACCACATGCAGAAAATCAATTTCAAATATGGTAGCGTAACAATATTATATTTATTCAATAATCTGATCACTTTGTACGACCTTACCTCAGCAGTTAAGGCCCTATCGATTAGCACTTAAACTAACTCCAATTGTTGAAGCTAATATCTGATATTATGAATTCAATGCTTGTGATTTCATATCTGGTTTTAGATTTTTACCATCTCAACTGGTTCATCTTTTATCATACTGTCACTAATGATTATTGTGTCTAACCATCTGTTTAATGAATTAGACCAACTTTTATTGTTAACTTTTAATTTTATTCAATAATCTTAATCTCCATGTCAACTTTAACTTTGTGGTCAAATTTCATTACCGCAACATAACTACAACCATCACTTTTATTACCATCACTTTAACTACCACTATCTTGTTAGATTCTGGGAATCAGTAGATGTCAATCTATAGTTAACCAGGGTCAATCAAATGTCTGTTATACCTAACTCATGGAAAGTTATACCATCAGGGTAACTAGTAATTCCAAAAGGTATATAAGCAGATTTGATTTAAAGTTTTAGAAATTATTTCTTCTTTTCTAAACTTCACTTTTTGTAAATTAATTTGTAAATTATATTTTCATATACTATTAGTTAATTTAAATAATTAAGCCTTTTTGATTACTAACGTATAATTGTACTTATACCTTAGATCTAAGATAATCAATCCCTACTGACACTATCCCAACTATGTCCCAACCTGATCAACAGTCTAACTCTGTCTCTATTCCCCCATCCATGGATACATGCTCCCTACTGGTTTCGAACCTAAGACAACAGGTTATGAGCCCTGTCAGCAATTCCAAACCAATTCCCGTTCTACTATCCGGCCCCCAAAACTACGATATTTGGTTGCATTACTTTATGCGTGTAGTTGGTCGTGCCAGTCATGTTTGGAAAGAATATGTTAATACTGGAGACATTAATTCTGTTAGGATTGAATATCCAGTAACTGATAATCAGATTAATTCGATCTTAGAAGATTTGGATTTTAATCTTATTAATCTTATTAACAAGAGTGTCTCTAAAGAGATTGAGAAAACGATTGAAGAATCTTTTCTTTCAGCTAAAATTGATGGCCCACCTGGACTTTTACTTTTAGAGTATCTGAGAAGTAAATATGGTAGGAAATGTGTTGAATCCTCCATGTCAATCTTTTCTGAACTAACCTCGGCTTCATCAAAACCTCACCCTAACAAGGGTAATTGGGCAAAGAGATTCATCGACGCCATTTTTGATGGTAATGAAGATCTGGATATCAATAATATTTTTCAAGATCCTGCTGTTAGATCTGCTGTTAAGGATTATCACAGGAAATTAAAGGACTATGCTTCAGCCCTATTGTTGATGGCCCTTACACCAGAATTGCAACAGAAGTTTATTGATTTCTTTGGTCCAAGAATTTCGATTTCGTAC